GACTGATGTGCTCTTTCTAGGGAGAGTTGTATTTCTGATGAGTGAAGAGGCGGCTTTAATTACCCCTGTGGACCAAAGCGGTTGTAAAAGACTAAAATGGACCCCGGCCATTCATGCCCAATCATTGAGGAGATTGGAGGACTCGCGTGTTAGGGCTCTCAGAGACATAGTTATTAAGTCTGAGAATTCCTCTCAAATTTGTGACTAATATGAGGTGCTGGTGAAGTCCGTACAACCATTTGTCTCTAAACAAGTTGATTTTGGTTTTAGCTATTGTAAATGCTTCCAGAGATTGCGCACTTCGTTTGATGCGGACTGTGAAGGAAAAGTCTGTTCTCGTGCGTGTAGTTAGGAGGGTAAGATGAAATCCCTCTCCTAATTTATTTCAGGATGTAGTAGAGGCCAGAAGAAGATATAAAAGTTTATTATATGACATGCCTCCCAAGAATATCTTAGATCCTTGTGGAAGGATTTTGAAGCAGAAGCGAAACCTAAAAATTCTTCTACATTTTGGAAGATGGCAGCTTTAGCGCTGGTAGATACACTCCAGCCGAGGAGCCCCATATTCATGATGAAGCCCGGGCCTTAGTGATTCATCTACTTCTGCCATAGCTGGTGCAATGGGGAACCCTCTCTTGGATTTACCACTCCGGCCTTCCGAAATGGACAGTGAATTGCAGTCATTTAGTTTAGCCCAACAATGGACAAAAGCTTCAGGGGAAGATTTTCTCCTGAGGGAAGTGTTTCAGAAGAATCTTAATTGGTTCTCCCCAGTCTTGGCTAAATGATTGACCATCATTAACCATATTGGATGGGTTCTGTCTGGATATCCAGTCTTATAGTTCCTATTTTTGAAATAGGGCTAGAAAGAATCCTGCTTCATAGAGAGTTATTAGCTGGTTATATGTGGCAGGGAAAATTTACTCGAGATGTTTAATATCTCAACTTGAAATATGGGCTTTCGCGGCTAATTTCTTACAGGCAGAGCAGTCCAGTGTTAGGGCTGGTAGAGCCCCAATTGATAATTGCTTTATTTTATCCTATATGATTTATAAATCTATGGAGGTTAAGGGTACTAGAGTGTATGTTGCTTTCATAGATCTAAAGATGGCATTTGGTTCTATTGATCAAGGCAAACTTTGACTGATGTTAAGAAGGATGGGTAACAATCTGAGACTTTTGACTCGTTTGGAGGCCCTAGCCCAGGGCAATATGGCTAGGGTCAGAACTAAATTCAACATTTCCCCTGTTTCTAGGGGAGTACGCCCAGGATGCCTTCTAGCTCCTCTTCTTTTTAATTTACGTATTAATAAAGTGGTGGATGTTTTAACGGAAGGTAATTTCTCTCCGCCACAAATTAAGAGTCGACCTATCCCAGTGTCATTATATGCTGATAACGGGGTTGTTTGATCACGAACTCCTCCAGTTATTATCTTGTTTTCCCTCTCATGGTAACTCTCATTGTAACTTAATTATAAGATCAAGATCATGATTTTGGGGACGAACTCCCCTGCAAATTGAGTGGAAGCCACCCTGTGGAACAAGTCTCTGCTTTTACTTAGGGCACGTCTTCACTACCCGCCGGATCGGCGGGTAGCAATCGATCTATTGGGGATCGACTTATCGCGTCTAGTGAAGACGCGATAAAATCGATCCCTGATCGCTCTGCCGTCGACTCCGGAAATCCACCGCGGCAAGAGGCAGAAGCAGAGTCAACTGCGGAGCGGCAGCAGTCTAGTCGCTGCCGTCCTCACAGCCAGGTAAGTCGACCTAAAATACGCAACTTCAGCTACGCTATTCACATAGCTGAAGTTGCGTATCTTAGGTCGACCCCCCACCCCCCCGTAGTGTAGATCTAGCCTGAGTTAGGGATAAAGTTTTATCATTCGGACCACTGGTCCCCTTATCATAAAGGCTTAAACCAAAAGGCCCTTAGCTCTACTCTTTTTTACACGCTCATATGGTGGGAACAGAGTTGCCCCCGGCACTAAGAATTTTTAATGCAAAAATAATATTGCAGATTTTATTTATTTATTTATTTTATGGTCTATGGGGTTGAAATTTGGTTAAGGGGACAAATTTTGGTCTTAGAGATTCTTCAAAAAAATATTTTTAACAGACTTTTATTTCTCCCAAAGTCTACACCTGCCTCGTTTTTACATGCCGAGTTGGGTGTTCTTTCTGTAAGTAGTAGAGCAGCGTGCATTGATTTTCTTACATTTTGCTTTAAAATCTGTCCTCTTCCAGATTATAAACTGCCCCTTCTTTGCCTCCAGGAGATGGAGGAACAACCTGGCATAACACTCTGTTGGGTTTTTCTGCTACTCACTTTATTGTCGATATCTTTTAATTGATGTAATCAGCTACTCGGACAGAGCATGACAGCCCATCCCCCAGAAGAACATCTGGCTATGATTCATGATTCCAAGTTTGCCTTTTGGTTTTCTCCTTTGAAGATGGCCCATGTCTTTGAACTATATTTGAATGAGTTCTCAAACCCCCGTTGCTTAAGGCACAGACTCAGCTAAGATGCCAAACCATGGAAACCGCTGTCCTTCAAGCTGTCGAAACGTTCCTTCCCATTTTCGGTTTTGCCCATGTAAATCTGGAGTGCTGGAGAATCTAGCTCGCTCTCTTTTGGATTGTCGAATTTTCCAGCTTATGAGAGCACGCGGAATTTTACCTCTTGTATAGGAAACGAGCTTTGATCACCATCTCCAAAGATAATGTTTTTAGTTTCTTCTCAGTCCCTGGTAGTAATCAAAACGGTGGCAATGTTTGTCCTTTTAGTATTGCGCTGAAGAAGGGAGTTTTTATTAGGCTCTGACTGACTTTTAATGGATCATATACATCAGTGTTTCTCACCGACCGGTTCGTGGACCGGTGCCGGTCTCTGAGATCCCCTGACACAGTTTAGGAAGGCAGCAAGCCCGTCTATGGTATCGAAAAGGTTGAGAAACATGGATATAGATGTTGTGGTGACTTTAGATTTGTAGGTTTGTCTTTTGCATTCGCAGCAGATGTGTCATAGATAAGACTTAGTCACAATTTAGTCATGGAGGTTGCAAAAGTCACGGAATCCATGACTTCCAGCGACCTCCGTGACTTCAGCCTGCGGTGGTGGGGAGCTTCAGGGTACTCCCATCGCCTCTGGCGGCCCCCAGAGCTCCAAGCTTGCCGCAGGCGGTGGGGGTACCCCGCGCAACTCCTGCCGCTGTGGGCGATGGGGGTACCCCACGCAACTCCTGCCGCTGTGGGCGATGGGGGTACCCCGCAACTCCTGCTGCTGCGGGTGGTGGGGGAATCCC